TTAAGTAATTTATGTTTCATATATAAAAAAAAAGACACAATTTTACAAGTTTATTTGCGAGTGATTTTGCTTGTGATCTCGAGAGGTGTAAAGACTGAGTTTTTTATTTTCAATTTTTTATTGTCTCATAATTTAGGTTTAGGGTTTGTTTGGTTCACCTTATTTTTGCTTATTTGAATTGATCTAAACTAATATGTTCTGATCTGATCTGATCTAATCTAGTTTGATTTAATCAGATCTGAATGTCTAATTTGACCAAAATTTTAAAAGGATAATCTAAAATATTTTAAGTTTAAATTTGTTAGATTCGTAATAAAGTATATTTTATTAGTACGTAATTTTTTGTAATTTTTTAGTTACAAAATTAAAGATATTTAGCAATAAAAAAACACACATAAAACGATAAAGTATGTCAAATTTTATTTTTCTGATCTAGTTTGAACTTATTTTTTCTAATATGATCTGAAATAAATTAAAATAAAGTGTAGTAAACATGGAACGAGTCTTATATTTTCCTTTTTCAATTCTAAGATATTATTTTAGTAGTCATTGTATCATTTAATTTATTTCATGATGTACTTATTCAATTTTATTTGCATGCAGTTTTGGAGAAGGAAGGTTACGAAGACACATATCATATATAAAGAAATTAGAGGTAAGAAATTAAAGCCAGAAATATGAATTTTCGTTTTCTTTTTAGATCAATAAATTGTGGAATCAATTGGTTTATTTGAGATATGGAAAAAAGTTGACCCCTTCATTTTTCTTCCCTTCTATGACCATGTTTGATAAAAGAAAATATTTTTTTGATAATTCAAAACACACGTACTGTTACAATTTATTTGGATAATGATGATACTGGAGGGGAAGGGAAGGAACAAGAATTCAGGGGATGGATTCATAGTAGTAAACTTGTGTTTTCACTTCAAATCTATCCACCTTTTTTGAAACAACCTTTTTTTAAAACAGTTTGATTATTTATTATAAGAGAAACAAGATCCCTCAAATTCCTCTTTCTTGTCTGCTTTTCTTCCCCCTAATTAATATCAAATTAAAAGAAACAAGACCCATCATCCTCTTACACTTTTTTTTCCCTCTTCATAACACGTTGTTAGTGCTCTTACATTCTTACTAGTCGTTAGTACATAATTAATGACACAGAATTATTGATGCTAATATGACGCAATTGCTAAGATAATCACTTTTAATGTGGTGGTAAACTCTTTACCACCTCATTAACAGTGGTGATGTAACTAACTTGATGCGAACATACATGAATTATGCTGCTGCAATTTAATTTATTTCCTTGTTATTGTTCATTTATTGCAATACAAAATCAAAATCATGATTCTTTATTTATGACATTGGTGCATTAATTTGATATCATATTATAGGCGATATGTTACCATATTATATGAGATGTTACCATATATTATGTTATTATATGTTAGTTACCATATTTTATATTATTATATTAGTTACCATATTTTATATTATTATGTTAATTACCATATTATTTTGACATGTTACTATATCAATTTGATATTATTGTTAGGAGGTTAATTAATGAAAATTTATTATTCATGCACTGTATGTTTACCATATAGGCTGAACTCAAGTTTAATTTTGTTGTGAGAATGAATAACTCAAGAAAAAACGATGTAGTTTAAAAATGGATGTAGGAGTAGTATAGTGAATTTGATTTTTAATTTATATATATAGAGAGAAATTGGTAGTTTAGCTACATACTTAAAAGCCGATATGTAACACATTTATTTGAACTTATTAATTTTTTTTAAGTCAATGGAAAGTGTTGTAAGGTAAAGGTGCATTCAATTCAATTGATAATCACTTATCTGAACTTATTAAACCTTATCTATATCAAAACTTATTTTAGTTGTAATTTGTACTTGGGTAATCTTTATTAGAACTTATTCTTCTTAACAATTTGTACTTGGGTAATCTTTATTAGAACTTATTCTTCTTAACATAACTTATTACACCTAATTAGTGTAAATTAGGTGAATTGAATAGGCTCTTATAGCTTGATATGGTAGTCAACCAATGAACCTAGATAACCCTTTCAACTATATACTAAACTTAAATTAATAATAACTTCCAAAAAAAAAAAAAAAAAAAAAAACATTTAACCAAAACTAGTTAGCTCTCTCTCTCTCTCTCTCTCTCTCTCTCTCTCTCTCTCTCTCTCTCTCTCTCTCTATATATATATATATATATATATATATATATATATATATATATATATATATATATATATATATATATATATATATATATATATATCAACTTTCAATCCATTTTTTTTTTATGTTTTCTATGAAGTTGATAACATTTTTCTACTTCTACATCCTTACACCACTATAAAATTCATCACAAAATTTAATCTTTCTTTGATTTAGTTTGTTTCTCAAAATATTATTCCACACACCACACATTTAATCAAATTCTCTCCTCCCAATAAAAAATCGTTCATCATTATTCATTACATTGTTAAGGATGAATAATAATAATGATGGTGATGGTAAAAGTTCATTTTTTTATGAACATGAAAACACGCCTGATTTTGAACCATTTACGTTTGATGATCCAGATATAATTATAAACGACGACTTTATAGTTTATTTGGCGCGAGACATTCGACTTGCTTTTTATGCTGCAAATCCAGGTGCTTCTACAACAAAGAAAGCATCAGAAACTGACTCTTTTTGCAATTTTGAAACTTTAGATAGTATCAAGTGCGAAATTATGATGCAAAGAGGTTCAAGCTCAACCACCATCCCAGCCGCAACCCAAAAAACTACACCGCCTATATCAAATGTGCCGATTGCAAACCCTAACCCAGTTTAGCAAGCCCCTAATCCCATCCAAATTCAATTGAATGAACCCTATGTAAGCACATTCCTACCCATGGACTCATCCTTGTCCCAACCAAATGGGACCGCTGTCGTAAACCCAATAATCCTCCAAATCCAAGTTGCGCCCATGCAACCAATTTCAAACCCCGTCTCATCTTTTCAGGTTGTCGCACCCATTGAAATGAATGCGATTGTTACAAACGCCAACCTGATTTCAGCCTATGCTATAGCACCAGCTTATCAACCAAATCATATTAATAATCCTTATGCAAATTTGTGTTGGCAAGTCAGACAAGAAGCAACCTTTGTTAATGAGCCCGCTACAAACCTATGCCTTTCAACTCCTATTCAAGATGCCCCTCCTATTGCAGCCCCCATTGATATGCTTCCTCGTCGTCGTCGTGGACGCAAAGAGCATCACACTGGTATGTCGGACTCCTGGGTTGTCACGCAAACCACAAGGAAAAGTGGAAAGACTAAGGGAGTTGTTGACAAGGTTTATACAAAAAACTAATAAAAATTTAAACATTCCAGTTTATATAATTATTTTAGTACTGTGTAGTAATTAAACTTGTATATTTGTAATGTGATGCAGACGTACAGAAGCCCAGATGGCAAGTATTTCCGATCTTGGAAGTCGACAATAGCTCACTACCGGAACACTGATGGGAAAGATGATAAGGTATACACCCCTTTATGTATCTATAATTCTATACATACATATTAATGATAATTGTATAGCCATCCTTATTTTATAGTATTCGGCGTAAGATGATTAGAATCTAATTTTTGATTAATTATAACACACGACTTGCTAAACAACTAATTAGATAGTGTATTAATATCATGTGAAATTTTAAATGCCTATATGGTAAATATATGTTATACGTACATTTATTATAGATCAAAAATTGATGCACGTGCATAGTTGTTACGTGATAAAGAAGTGATAAAAAAAAACTAATCGCATATATAATTATACTAACTTATATGTTTATATTATGACCTTTAATTTACAGGGAGAAGGAGGCTCATCAAGTGGAGGCCAAGTGGCGGCTTAAAGACGTCGCGTCTTTAATCATTTACAATGGTAATTCATGTGGAGTCAATGGAGGTAGAGAGAAACATATGGGCAATACAATAATGAAGAATGATATTTATGTTTATTAGTATCAATATCTTTCATGATCTAATTTGAATCTATTGTAAATGGTGGTGAAAATAATTTTCGTTTATTGTTGTATTATTCCTACCATTTCATGAGATATTTTTGGTAGATGACTTTGTTATTGCTTATTTATTTATCGTTGTAATAGTTTGTAATGTTATTTTGAAACACCTTTATTCTAACAATACCGGCTATTTATTTATCGTTGTAATAGTTTGTAATGTTATTTTGAAACACCTTTATTCTAACGATACCGGCTATTTGGATCTTCCATTTCTTATTATAGTCTCCAATATTATGTGTGTCACTTACATTATTATTGGTGAATGAATATACAAGTATATAGTTTTTTAATCAAGATTGGTTAATATTCAGTGAGAATTTGATTATATTGATACATATAGTTTAGGAAAACATGACATTTTAGATAGGAACCTTTGATGAAGATGTCAAACTACTCCAGACAAGTTTTTTTTTTTCATATAGTTTTAACTAACAAATACCTTGATAATGGTGATATTTGTGTATGTAACATAGTATGGTATATTAATTTTATGGATAAGATTGTATTTTCAAATATCTATTTAATAAAATCAATAACTCGACCATTGAAAATATTAAATTTCATAACTTTCAACTTCATAATATTTGATTGAAAGAGAATTACATTTGTTATTTTTAGGCCTTCTTTTTTAATGGTTATGGTCTTACGGAGTACATTTTAGTTATTTCCTAAGTAAAAATATTGTTTTTTCTGTACACATTTCCCCCTCTATATAGATTTTCCTACAACTATCCTCATTTATCAAAATATTTACCTACTTCCAATGCAACTATTTGTGGGTGATTAGGTTTCAATCCTCTCCGAATTTTTACGGCGGGGGATCGAACACGGGTCCTAATCATACCAACAAGGCAACAACCAATTGGTTACAGTAGTATATATTTTTGAAAGAATGAAACTTTTGTATTAGTATATAGTTGTTGGAGAACAAACATCTAAAATAACATAAACACTAGTTTCAGAGCATCAATCTTCTACTCTGACTCTCTTCTTCTCCCGAATCCTCAAAAATGTCTAGAAAGTTCTTCGTCGGCGGCAACTGGAAATGCGTAAGTTTTTCTCTTTTTGTTTTTCACAAATCATTCATCATCAATTCAGTTTAATTTCCACTGCTGAATATGATCACTATCTTTCAGCTATTCTTCTTCATAAATTGCTTGATAATTCTTGGTTTAGTTGCGGTTATTCGATTAATTCTGCTATTTTAATGCCATTTTATGAATTTTTTCGATTGATCATATTATTATCTTAATTTTTAGTTTGCTTTAATCTGAATTACTCATACAGTGGATTATGGTTGTCGATTTGAATTTCAAACTTATTAATTAGCGTTAATTTGAAGTTGAAGATTGCTAATTTCTGATTCAGAATGCTCCTAGATTAATTAGGGTGATAATCATGCCTTAAAATGATTATAATCTCGGTGTTTAATATAATTTCGTCATTAAATATGAAAATATTAACCTTGTATGGCTAATTAGCTAAGATATACTACTATAATTTGATGGTATGTTGATAATGAATGAATGGGGCCGTAGGCGAAATGATGGATGTATTGTGTTACACTGATAGATGCTTATGGTTGAAGTAGGAGTGTAGGAAGGAATTGTTTATGAGGGAGAAAAGAGGGCATTTTGAAGAAAGAATAAAAGAAAAAAGGTTTTAGTCCTATTTGTGATAACATGATTATTGATCATGGTAATTATATTGATAAATTTGGGGCTGAAAGTGACTTAATTTTTCCAGAATGGAACCACTGAGGAAGTGAAGAAACTTGTGACCATGTTGAATGAAGCCGAAGTTCCCTCAGAAGAGGAAGTGGGTGAGTATATTACATTCTTTCTTCTTATAATGCCTGGAATGTGACATTATTGTGAATTTGTGATGCTATCTGGGAGAATGTCGTATTGATAATTAGGTTAGTTTGGAAGCTAAACAATTTATATGTATGGGTGAAGTCAGTCATCGATTGTTTTCTTTCCTGTTGTGGTGGTAACTTGGTAAGGTCTTCATTAAAACATTACCATATAAAAAGGGACAGTGGATTCTACAGACATAATTCATCATGTGCATCAGGTAGAGCTGGAGGGCTAATTGTGATTGCTAGATATTGTAAATGGCTTAGGGTTTATTGTTGTTGGATGTTTCATAAGTTTATTTTAATGCTACCAATTAATCAGATTACACCATGTCATTGCTATAGTTATGCTTTGATTAATTAATGATGGATTAGCAATTTTTCTTTTTTTGGGTTTGAAATGATTATAAACTTATATGGCTATTAGTTTTTGTTCCTCTTTTTTCATCTATGATGGTATGATCATCTGGTTTCTTGGAGTCTCATGCTAGTTTACTCTACTACTTGATATTGTTTTGATTGACACTGAGGAATTTTAGCTTTTATGGGAGTGCCACATGATTTATACAGTGTTCTTGACTACGATTAGTGTTGATCATTCTTGTTTGTTTGTGAATCTTGTTCTTGCCTCGTGCATTCTGTTAAAACTTCATTTACCTATAAGATCTTCTCAATGTACTTTTTTTGTTTCTGTAAGTACTATTGGACCTTTTTATACAGTCTTATTGTGATTGAACTAGCCTTTTCTATGCTCTACCATGTGCAGCTTCAGAAGGCTTTCTATATGTATATAATGTGTGTGATTTTTCTTTACAGCAACTAGGTTGAAGGGAAGGAAGTGTATTTAATTTCATCTTTGTCATTTTTCTTTATTTCTTTGGATTTTTTATATTGGGTCTGCAATTATTGTATTATCTCAAATAAGCTTATGTTTGGTAGAAAACTGCAATTCTCTGTTTAATATATATGATGCTTTTGCTTTACCTTGCAGAGGTGGTTGTCAGCTCTCCATTTGTATTTCTTACTCTGGTGAAAAATTTATTGAGGCCTGATTTCCATGTGGCTGCACAAAACTGTTGGGTGCGAAAAGGTGGTGCCTTCACGGGTGAAATCAGGTATACCGTATACTTGATCTGATCTGTACCTTTGCTCCGATACAATAATTTTTCAGGCAGAATATTGTTATGCTGCATTGTAAACTGTATTACTCTGCTGCTTCTTTAGTTTGTCTCATGGGTTTTAAGTTAATGTCCTAAGTCAATCTTTTAGCATACAAATATAAATTAGTACTACTATGTTTTGTTGTCTTGTTGATGTATGGTGGATGCTATACTGACTGGGATTAATCTACTCAAATCCCTGTCTAACATTTATGACGTCTTCTCAAACATGTATATAGTGTATCCCTTTACATTCTTCTTGTATGTATAATCATTATTTTCCTATTAGATATGAATACTCGTATGTTTATTGAGTGTTTCAACATGATTTAGTCTCAAGTTAAATCTCTTAAGTCTTTCCGGTTTTCCAACCTGTATCAGTCACGTATTTGACACCTAAAGTGGGCACAAGTTCTGCGATCCTTGAACTTTTGTATGAAATGTGATTCTTTAGTTTTCCAACCTGTATCAGGCATGTACCTAACACCTAAAGTGGGTGCACAATGTGACCCTTGAACTTTTATATGAAAACATTTACCTAGTGAGCTGAGTCTAAGTAAAACCCTCAGATTACAGGAGTCCTCACTCAGGTTTAAGAGCATTGTCAGTGTTGTTTCAGTTCATTTTTCTCCAATATGAATCCCATCTTTTATGCTGAGGAATATTTTACCTCCTCATTTCATCTACCTTGGTGCTTTGATTGATAATATAGCATTCTATGAAATATATGTTGCTTTATGCGAATCGTGGTATTTTTCAAAGAGAGTCTTTGGGTTGTTCATTTACTCCAACTATACTCTGAATGGTAGAATTTATGTTAATCATGTGCCTGTGTTTCTTATCAAAAAGTTATTTAAGCTGTTAACTTTTATCTAGACTTCTTGCTTTTGGCTTTGAAAATTATTGACTTATTTGTATAGATTATAGACATCTTCGACAATTTCTCATTGTATTTAGATTGCTTGGTCCTTTTAAGTTTGATGTTTGCAAATTTTTTGTTTACATGGAAGTTGTATTATGATTTTGGATTTCATGTGTTGGACTGACGTTTAACTGCCTCTGTCTTACTCTGTTTTCTCTATTCATTGTTGCAGTGCAGACATGCTTGTCAATTTGGGTATTAACTGGGTTATCCTGGGTCATTCAGAGAGAAGAGCCTTGTTAAATGAGACAAACGATGTATAATGTGTCACCTTCAGAATCTTCTGTCTTTTTGCTGCCTTATATACTATGTTTTGCTTTGCTTACAGAAGTGCTGTTATATGACTAATGCTTTTGTATTTCCTAGTTTGTTGCAGACAAGGTATCACATGCGCTCACCCAGGGCCTGAAAGTGATAGCTTGTGTAGGTGAGACTCTGGAGCAGCGTGAAGTAGGAACTACCATAGAGGTGGTTGCTGCTCAGACAAAAGCTATTGCTGGTAAACTACTGCTATATGTCTTTAAACAAACTGCATTTATATAAGCATTATATGGAAGATTAGTCTGTCTCTAATCCTCATCAGCATAAACTTGCAACTAATATTTTGTTTATTGCTGTGTTGATAGACCGCATAATGAATTGGGACAATGTAGTTGTGGCTTATGAACCAGTCTGGGCCATTGGAACTGGAAAAGTTGCAACTCCTGCTCAGGCTCAGGAGGTAAGTCTAGTTTCCAGAGAGCATTACCATTATTATTTTTATTGCCAACTTGTAAGAATTATGAAGTTTGATTAACTCTAACGTGACATGCACGCTAATGGCCTAATGCTGAGTGATTGGTGTTCTTAGCTTCTATGTTACTCGTCTGATTATGAAGTGTTATGCAAAGAGCCAAGAGGAAATGTATATATGTAATCCAGAATTACAGTTGATTATATATTTCACTGTCTCCATCATTTACAGGTTCATTTGGAACTGAGGAAGTGGCTCAAGGAGAATGTCAGCGCCCAAGTTGCTGAAACAACCAGAATTATTTATGGAGGTATTCTAATAGCTTTAAGACAATCGATAAACTAATTAGAGTTTGTCAGTCTCGTAGTTGGTTTATCCAGTAATTGGCATTGATGATAACAGTCCATGGCCCATACTCTATACATCTTGTATCAAAACTCTTATGTACTTCTCCCAGCTTTCTATTCTACCTTCAGGAAAATTAACCCCCTATGCCTAAGATACACGCACTTAGATGCCCATATTATGTAAGATATAATTCATGTACACACCTTTGATGCTGTTCTCAAACTTTCATGGTTCACTGCAGGCTCAGTAAATGCAGGTAACTGCAAAGAGTTGGCAGGACAGCCTGATGTTGATGGATTTTTGGTCGGCGGAGCTTCCCTTAAGGTAGTGTTTTTAAGCACTTGGAATTTCAATTTACTGGAGTAATTATTATTAAATTTTAAGTACATCAGATAAAAGATTTGCTGCCTGATTTTCTTCTTCCTTTTTGTCCATTCAGCCGGAGTTCGTAGACATAATCAAGTCTGCTACAGTGAAAAATGGTGCTTAATATTGATCCAGTCTAATTTCGGAAACCACTTCTAGATATTTTTGCTTTTAGGTGTTCTTTTGCCTCTTTTACAAGACTTACATGAAGAGAATGTCAAAACTCGAAAACAACTAACAGATAAAATGCCTCAAGTTGTGCTTCTTTTTCGGTCAATATGAATGTATAAGCGTACCTTAAGTTATTTTCTTCGCCGTTTGTTCATATTGTATGAAACTACGGTGTGTGTTTTTATTCATATTGTGTGAAATTACGGTGTGTGTTATTATTAATTAGAGATCAAGATCACAATAAGAGGTAAAATTCTGTTACAATAACTTACATAATCAGATCAAATCTCTTTGATTGTGTCTGAAACGAGGATTAAAAGAAAGTAGTCAAGAGTTGCCAAAGTTGTCTTAATTAATATATCATCGTGATTAAAGCATGATTTGTCACTAGAAGTTGTTCTTCCCTGAAGATTGACCTCATGATTTTGATTCTTTGTTGAAATATATGCCTCGTACTATAATATTTTAGCCGAAATAGATCCAATCATAGTCTCCTGAAAATTACAAAAAACATTATTATAGTCATAAAAAGGATTTCGTGTAGATTTGTATCGCCATTAGGACTTAAAATAGATTTTATATTAGCTATTACTACGTATTTTATTTTCTTTATACTAATGATGTAAGTAGTTCTGCTGGGGACGTTATCATACGTAACCTAATAAACTTACCAACCCAATTCACCTGATTGTTTTATATCTTACCCAATTCCCTAATTGTATCTAAAATTACACATCACAATTGAATCATCCCAATCTAATAGTAATGAACATTAATCTAATCATGACTAAAAAAACACGCATATGGGTAGAAGTAAACTCGACTCAACTCAAACATCTTATGATTCAATTATCTTATCTTATCTTATGATAGATAAAATGACAATCGTATCATTTTTAAATTTTAATTATCGCCATTGTACATTTGTAAGGAAGAAATAATTATTTTGAAATAAAAGTATGTAATTAATGATTTTTGAATCTAAAAATAGATTAACAGTTGTTATACTCTATGGAATGAATGATTGGATTGACTGAGTGACGTAGCAAAAAACCCAAACAATAGTCGAGGTGGGCATGCAACAGTACAACACCCGTCAAAACACAAGGCAGAAATTGGGTCAAAAGAGTGATAAAAGTCAACAATCTGATGAACAATAACAAAATTTATATTCAATTTTAAGGTAACAACTTGTTGTGATGATAAGGTCCCCCCTTACCAATTACACGAAAAACATTATTTTCTACAACTCACATGATTGTTCTCTCTCCTTTTTTTCACATTATTGAATCACTCATATTCATTCATCCATATTGTTGAATCTCATAATAATACTCCTATATTTTATTTATTCACTTTTTTTTTTTTCCTTTTTTTTAGATGTAGTATAAGAGGAATATTCATTTGCTTTTAAGCTATTACAATGTAGGCGTATAATATTTACGTTACATTTTTTAAGAGAGTGAGTGATTGAGGATTGTTCACACTGAAAAAATGCTTCATATGAAACTAAATTTGGAGGATTGTTGAGCCTATTGATTTTGATTGACCTTTTTTTTTTCTTTTCCTTTGCCTATATAATTTACTCATACATGTTTATCGTTTTAAAGTTTATGTAAATGGTAAATTTTTTGTGTTGATGTCAACAAACAATTGTAATGTTTTATAATACATACTCCATACTAACTTCATTGAGAAAGTAAACATACAAGATAATAACATAGTCATACTTTAATTTGTTGGAAATAATTCATAATATTATTTATTTTAGTTTTTTTTTAACAAATAAATAGTATTGCTATCCGTTAACGGTTTTATTAATTCTTATTAATACAACATGTTGAATACTGACTCAAAAATATTAACCTAAGTCCTCCACCAACACCGTCATCACCTCCGAATCTCCAATAACACAGTCATGCAATTGGACTTTGGGACGTATTAGTACATATAGTGATATATAGACATATAGCTACATAGCTTGAGATGATATCTAATTGCAATTTGGCATGTTAGGATTATGAGCATTACAATAGCAATTTGAGCTATATTATGGGTTGCCACCCGTGATTTGTTTGTTATCTCTTAGGAATTAATATTAAAACAATTTATTCAATAAGCCTAAGCTAATAATTAGGCAGATTTTTTTTTTTCTTAAATGCTTTATTCCATCACCAAAATAAAAAATCATCTAGTGGGTTGCTAGAAGATTGGACAAATTGAATAAGCTAAGCTTATCTACAAATGAAAGTAGATAATCCAAAACGTGACCTTGAAACTTGATAGTACAGGTTGTTAATTAATCTCTTAATTAATTAATGAGGCTCAGCTACTAATTTTATAAATATCCTGCAATTGACTAATGCATTAAAATTGACCACAAATGCAAATACATTGGCGTCTAAAGGTCAACTGAGTTCAGTGTTAAGTTCCACCTATCAAATATTATATATTCCGTACCATTTATTTCAATACATACTACAAAAGCTATGTTATTGTAGATTTGTAGAGTAGTTAGTAGCCACGTAAAGCACAAGCTAAGTATTAATACCACCAAAAGTCAACCATGCATTTATTTGACCAAATTTAAATGGGAGTTCGGAGCTTGGGACCAAATTTCACATATGCTCTTTACCCTGAAAATTTACTTTATACTAGAATTAGTTGTGTGTGCTATGCTAGTACCCAGTACCCTCACCAAAAGAAGAAAGTGCAAGTTATTCTCTCAACTACTTCTTGTCCATTTTCTGTATGTACCATGTTAGTACGTTACTAATGTTTCATAGCCACCAATTTGATTGTCACATGTGTCGTTTGAGAAAATTATGACCAATTGGTTACTCGGTTGTTGGCCGGTTCACTTCCATTGATTGTTTATATATGTGTGAATGTATCTTATGCTATTAATACACGTATAATTGATTGAGAGAAAAAGTTTGTGTAACGCAGTTGTCACACATTTATGTTTCTAGAAACTAGAATATTGTCCACCTACACATATTGTGTGATTACCTCAAAGGCTCAAATTGATCTGGCTTGATTACCTACACAACTACACATATAGCATAACATATGAAATACATATACTACTTAATTGGTTTGGCTTGGTTACCTCATCATATTTTTCACTTTATATTTTCTACGTAGTTCGTTTTAGTTATGGATTACACTACATATATAAAACAAACTTTATAAACCTTGGCCATGAATTTTTACAATTTGACTTTATTAAGAACAAAAATTTACATACAATATCTTTTTAAATTGGTTTTGACAAGCTTTTTTTCTTCACAATATTAATTTTTTATACAACTATATAATTATATTATCTATACACTAGTACAGTTTGTTAAAGATTGAATTCAATCCATTGTACAATAGGAATTTAAAATTATTGTTAAAAAAATGTGTCGACATGAATTGATCAAGGCAACCTAGCTAGCTAGAAGTTGGGTGAACATCAACTAATGATGAGGAAGTTGACCTTCCTCCCAAAGCAATTTGTGCAGGTACACGAGCGAATGCATATTGTACAGCTAGGTTGTGTACTTCGCTTATTCAACCAATATATGCACTGGATGAGTTGTAGCTCACCCCAATATCGCCAAGTTTCCATAACACTTGTTGCATGCTACTCTACTATACTCTCATCTTCTGCCAAATTATATGGACATTAAAATAAAATTTAAAATTTTCTAAAGAATTACAGTTTTTTGGAGAGTTGGAGTATTGAGTTATTATAGCCATTGCTAGCCTTTTTTTTTTCTTTTGGGAAAGATGTAATGAGTAGCCTTGTAAGAGATTCTAAAGCTTTATTAGAAATTTGTTTGATGATACGAATGTTGTACCCCAATTTTCTACGTACCTATGTGAATATTTTGAGTACTATACTACCTTCGTCAATACGAAACTTCGATCATTAATGTTATATTGGTAAGTAATTAAGTATATAACGTAACAATAATAAAAAAATTGTGGCCATGTTTGGTAATTGGCTTTTTAATGGCTTTTTGGTTAGTTTTTAGCTTTTGGCTTTTTAAGGTGGTTAAACAGCTAAAAAATGTGTTTGGTAATTGACTTTTTAATCAACGAAAAAGCTGGCTTTTAAGCCAAAATGAAAAAGCTGCTTTGAGTAGCTTTTTTGTTGGCTTTTGGCTTGTTGGCCCACAAATTATCTAATAAACAGCCAACAAACACCAATTAATTTACCAAACACTTTTATAACACAGCCAACTTAAACAGCCAATTTAAAAAGTCATTATAAACAGCCAAACATTTCAGCTGGTCAAACAAGCCAAGTGAACCAGCCAACAGTCATTTGCCAAACAAGGCCTGTATTTGTATACTTGTACTTGTATTGGATATTGACATTATTCCAATAAAATTTCTTTCCTATGTAAATTACCATTCCAAAATTAGTCAATATAAAGGCCTTGTTTGGCAAATGGTTGTTGGCTGGTTCACTTGACTTGTTTGACCAGCTGGAATGTTTGGCTGTTTATAATGGCTTTTGAAATTGGTTGTTTAAGCTGGTTGTTTATAAAAGTGTTTGGTAAACTAATTGTTGGTTGTTGACTGTTTATTAGATAATTTGTGGGCCAACAAGCCAAAAGCCAACAAAAAGCTACTAAAAGCAGCTTTTTCATTTTGGCTTAAAAGTCAGCTTTTTCGCTTATTAAAAAGCCAATTACCAAACACATTTTTTGGCTCTTTGACCACCTAAAAAAGCCAAAAGCTAATCAAAAAGCCAATTACCAAACATAGCCAAAGTTAAAAAAACAAAGTCAAAAGTCATATGGATAATAATAATGTGTACAAAGGGAATACAACTGTGTCTAATTCACGATGTTTAAGTAAAATCTTTTTTTATTAATTTTTGTTTATAAATTTTACACGAGCAACATATGAAATTACAATAGTAGATGGAAACAGGTTAAAATAAACAGAAAGAGGGTAAAGGTAAGGAGTAAGGGCATAGGGTAGCCGGGAAGTCGGCAACTCCAATTGGGTGAAGAAAGAAGACGGGCTCCACATTCATGTGACGCTTACACTTGCCTTACATGCATACCCGACAATTTTTTATTTTTTTTGTCTTCAATTATCCGGCATATTCAATTGTCTTATAATCTTATATTAACACCTTAGGCTCTGTTCTTTAGAGTTGCTCTGTTTTGTCATGTTCTGCTGAAATCTGCTTTATTCTGTTCTGTTATAATATGTTCTACTCTGCCCAAAAACTTAAAAGGATATGGCCTGAAGTCTGCCTCAAATATAACACTAAAACAAATCTTACAAACAAAAAAATTGTTATGCTATAGTACTCAATTTTATTTATTTATTTATTTATTTTTTTGCTACTACTCCATAATAATAAAACTATTTATACTACTACTCCGTAATATGGAATACGGAGTAATAATTAGAATAATAACTGGAGTATATAATTTTCAGTCATTTTTTATTATCATAAAATTGACACAAATTTTGTGAGTATTATAAATACGTCCAACAAAGTATTAAAAAAAAACAGTAGTACTCCGTATTAATTTTCAAATTATGTCCCTGTCAAAATAAATAAATTAATTAAAAACAGATTATGTATGAGTAACCCAGAGATTACGGGCGTCAACCTAAGATCATTATCCTATTTGATTCCCATTCCCATTCACATCAACGTAAAAGCGGTCCAATTAGTTTGTAATTTAGTTTAAGGAATATGTTTTATTTGTATGTAAAACAAAATAAAACCGTCAAGATTAACGGATGATGTGAAAAGATCTACACAGAATGGAGGGCCCTGATTTGATCAAGTAAATAATGATTGGTTGTTGTGTACGTAAGGTATGGCGAAGAAATGACGTCATGGAAAATTGATCTAGAAGCTTAATAATTTCATAATAAATTTATAAGTGAGAAAGAAATTAAAGTGTGATGTTTAGTTTCATTTTCATACGAGTAGTTTGGTATGGGTCTCCATTGGGGAAGCATATAAATGTTTGTTTGGCTTCAATTAACCCATTAATTCACATCTTCACGGATTCCTTAACTCCAACCTCATGCCCTTCACGTTCTCCACTTAATTTTTATAAACTTCGCTTTTGTATTTGTTGAAAATTATTCGAAGATTATGTGAAAAATGTGATGCGTGTTATTAGGATTCGATGTCTGGTCTTAGCTAACATTTTATATGACTTTAAACAACTGGATTACCATCTACATATCAACTGTTATTATATGTAGCATTTCACATTAATGACATATACGAATACATATTTAGGGTCTGTTCTCTTTCATTAAAATTCACTTCATTTCAGTTTAGTTCAGTTCATTTCAGCTCCTAATTTCCTTCTCTTATAAAATATCCATTTCAGCTCAGTTCAGTTCAGTTCAGTTCAGCTGAGTTCAGTCAATGAGAACAGACCCTTAGATTAGTTTATTCGAATAAAAAGTTTAATGTTAATATATTTTACTCCCTTCGTCCCCGAAATAACGATCCATTTGGCCTAATTTTAGTCCCAAAAAGAATGAACCATTAGCATTAAAATACTCACCAATTTGCAACAATATTTGTGCAAAATTAGCTTCCCCATATAAAAATTTGTTTTTCCATATACTTTTACTACTATCTCTCTCTATTTTTTTGTAAACCCCATATAAATTTATCTTTTCAATATATTTTTACTTCTTGTTATTTAACTTTATTAACACCCGCGAAATCAACTCAAAAAAGTCGTTTTTTTCGGAGACGGAGGGAGTATATGTTTTTGTAACAAGTATATAATTTGAGTTTGAGAATATAGTCCACTCTCAAATGCATTTTCTTTTTATACTTTGTATATTTTAAGAAATTTTCAATCACAGACAGAGTTATTTTTTCACACATGTATATTTGAGAGTGAATTGTGTGTTTGTGACTTTGTGTCATGTCCATCCTAGATTCCTAGTATATGATAGTCCTCATCTTAATTAACACTAAGCTCCGTCAAAATAAAAAATTAACACTAAGCTAGGTATGGAAAATCTGACTATCTTTGTGCATTTTCCCAAGTAAATGTATACTTGTATGTGGATTTGACGCATATATTCCCACTTTATTATTTGCGTGGGACATCAAGATCAATTGTTGATTATAGTTTGAGCGGCTTCATTTATTGACTAATTGTGCCTCCTTTGATGACAATTATATGACTAGATGCATGGTTTACTTGATTATCCCACATTGATTAGATCTTTATCACAGTTTTTTCATCCTCTTAAAATGATTAAGACATGACTTTCCTTTTTAACGGAATGATAAATACTCGTACGTCATTTATTTTTTTTGGTGCAAACTTGTACGTCATTTATCAGTTTATCATTGTACAATGTATAAATATACCTCACTAGGAAGACTAGACATACACATATACGGAGTACCAAGCTAAGCTTGGTCTAGTGGTAAGATTATATTGTCACCTTCCAACCTTGAGGTTGGGGACTTAGGGGTTCAATCCCCACTAGAGACACTTTAAGGATGGGGATCTCTTACCTTTTCCCATCACTCTCAAAGTCTCTAACCCGTAAATACCAGACAAAAAAAAAAACCGTGAGTGTTGAGGTGCGGTGAGGGTCTTTCTCCTTACCTTAAAATAAAAATAAAAATTACAGATAACGTAGTATTATAAAATATGTATATCCCCTCTAGACATATATATACCAAAAGTGTAGTAGTTGGTGGAGCTCAAACTTGTCTCGAACTTTGAGAACCAACTACATTTGCTTAGTTTGGGAATAGGGGATTCCCTTATCTCCCCCATTTTGCTCTCAAACGTTGACATGTGGAGCTAGACTAACCTAATCTGTGAGAGGTGATGGTCAACAGGGTCTTTCATATTTCCTTTTAAAAAAATTTATATATACTAAAAGTATAATACTGTCGGTGTATAGCGCATACGGGATAAAAAAATCATATAGTCAAATTCTATCCAAAAATTTAAATAATCATAGTCAATGAAATAGCATGCTCCTTTTACCCTATACTTAAAACTTTTTATAAAGTTCAATAATGCTGAAAAGAGGCTAGCAATAAAGTCTTATATTATTAGTTCTTAAAATAAAGTATGAGGATCTTTTTGTTTAAGTGTTAAACTTCATTTATTGAACTTCTTTCTTCTTAATTTCTCAAAAAAAAAAAAAAAAAAAATTCTTAAATAAAGTATAGAATAAGAAAATTTTAGATTAAAACATAGTAAAACCAAATAATTTAAGTTAAAATAAGTTTAGAAAATAAGTACAATAAAAAAAAAATTGGCGTTGTTCTCTTCACCTTACAAAAATAATTTCAGTTCAGTAAAATTAATTTCAGTTCAGTAAAAATAAGTTCAGTTCAGTAAAATTCATTTTTTTAAAGAAGAATTATAATAGAAAATCGGTAAAAATAATTTCAGTTAAGCAAAAATAATTTCAGTTCAGTAAAATTAATTTAAGTTCAGCAAAAATAATTGAAGTTCGGCAAAAATAATTTCAGTTCGGTAAAATTAAGGTTGAAGAGAACAGGGCCTTAGACAATTGAAATTAATTTTTTTTTTCTTATTACTTAATACTTCATATTATTTAGGTAGAGAGTGCCATGCCTTTCCATAAAAAAGAAAAAAAAAATCTAGAGAGTGTTAGATTTCATTTTCATTAAAATTCAAATGGATCATTTGCTTAGAAACCAAAGAAAGCACATGAATAAGATTGTCATATCAATAATATGAAGTAATATTTTCTTAGAAACCAAAGAAAGCACATGAATAAGATTGTCATATCAATAGTATGAAGTAATATTTTCCTCAAAACGATACGAGTAACAAAAAGAGTAAAAGACCTTTAAAATGTTAAAAGCCTTGAACTAACAAAGGTGAATAGCCATTTTTCGAAGTGAGCCATCAACTTCCCACATTAATAACTCCTGTCTTATTTTTATTAACGTTAATTTGAGGCAATTTATGCAAACAAATTGGAATCTCGGTCCAACAAACCGGCAGCCTTCAAAAAGCTTTTTACGGTCGTAAAACCATTGACTCGTGGCGACCCCCCCAAGATATTTTTTTTTTAATGATTTCCCTTTTATTTTTTTTGACAAGAATAAAAAAATGGAGTAGTATCTTGTTTACTTTATTGCTGATTGTCAGTATTTTTATACCGCACTAACACAACTATTCTAAGCAACGAGCACGACTTCACTCTTATCTTCGTATATAATCATAGATGAGTAATTAGTATAATAATCATAGATGATTAGATTATGATAGAACATTTTATTATAACCATTCTGTCTATGATTGTATACGAAGATAGGTATCATCATAAGTAGCATATTTACTACCAGAAAATCTTACATGGACCTAAGGTTTATACACATGTAAATGACATTATATTAAACATAGTGACACGTAATTTTAATGTAGTAACATTTTTTTAAAACTTGTGTGACATTTAATGTTATTATGAATTTAAAGTACGACATTATATTGAATAGTGACCTAATTTTAACATAGTGATTATTATTATTCATATTGACCATTACATTAAAAATTTCATTAAAAAAAATTAACCTCTTATAGCTTTTATAATGTCACACAATTGTTTATTTCAACATAATAACTTTTATTTTAATATAGTAATCTCTTTTTATTAATAAAACTATCATATTGTCTCTATTATTATATTCACAGAGTTGTAAATCGGGTTGAAATACTACACTATTCCGAAATATTTGATATTAACATTCGATAATATTATAACATGTCTATATAGGAAAATAAGAAACATTGCATAATCTATTACTTAATTTAATTTTATTTCACTATCCAATAAACAAAGATCCGCACTCTTAATCAATTAATCTCAATAGGTTCATTACTATGTACGTAGTATATATATTTACTTGCCTTGCTGGCAATATCAGATATCGTAAGCTGTCAATGACTACATTTCACCTCCTTTGTTGAGTGTTGGACACAAATCGAACACATTGCCTACCTTTGAAATTCAGGGCTCACTAGACATTACCATACTAGACATTTCAATACTCTACAAGTATACATTAGCCAAATGTTAATCATATATATCACTTTCGTTTCAGATTATTTATAATAATGAGATAATTCTACTCAAATTTTATGTCAAATATACTCCGTAGGAGATTGTCCGTTATAGCAACAAGTACAAGAAAAAAAACCGGGGTGGGGGTTGAAAGGGGGGCCAACCCGCCATTTATTAGCCTTTGCTCCTCTGTTTCCTTCCTTCTCAATCTCTCTCCTCTCCTTCTCTTTCTCTCTCTAACTCACATACTTTCTCTCTCTTCTCAAATACAACTACTCGTAATACTACTAAGAAACTTCACTAATCTCAACACACTCTTTACAATTCTATTCTCTATTTTCTTCAGTCAAAGAGGTGATTGCTCACCAGTGATCTTTGCTTCCTTCTTTTTTGCTTTTTTTTCTTTTTATGATCTTTCTTTTTCCTTTCTTTTATAATTGTTTATTCGTGTGATTTTATGATAAAATTATTATGTAGGAAAGTCCTCAAATAATGAGCTTTTAACAGTACTTATAATTTCCATTGATCCAGGTTGCAGGTTCTGTTTTCTGGGTTTCAAAGATCCTGCTATTTTCTTCAAAGTTGAGTTCTTTTTCATAAAAACAAGTGATTTGAGTGAAATTATTACTGGGTTTTGATGGGTATTTGTCTTAGTGCTCGAATCAAGGCCGAAAGCCCTTCTCACACAGGTCCATTTCTTTCTTCATTTTTTTTTTGGGAATTTTGGATTTTTCAAATTTTGTTAATAACACCATTAAAAATTTGAGTTAATTTCTTGGTTTAAAGTGTGTTTTTGGGTGTACCCTTTGTTTCTTTTCTAAATGTTGGGTGCTATAATTTTCGACGCTCTTTTTCTTTTCTTTTTTCCTTTGTTTGGTGCGTCAAATTATCCTTTTCCCACTTGATAAAGCTTACATTTTTAGGTGAATTTTGTTAGGCGAAAAGTTTCTGAAATTTTGTACAATAATTTAAATATGTGCTTTATGGAAAATATCTTCTAGATTAAGTGTATTAGCATAGAATCAAAATCCACCCAAATCTGTATGATCATATAAAAATTTTGCCAATAAAAAATGAAAATTTTGAACTTGTATCACTAGAAAATGCTTATTATTATTGGCCCAAATTGGATTAATGTAAAAGTTTGTGAAATTAGCTGATTTGGGATTTTGATTTGTTTAGGGATAAACTCGAAATATGTTAGCTCGGATGCAAGTAAGGTCTCATCAGTGCCTTTGACACCAAGGAGTGAGGGTGAGATTTTGCAATCATCTAATTTAAAAAGTTTCAGCTTCTCTGAGCTTAAAGCGGCTACCAGGAACTTCAGGCCTGATAGTGTGCTTGGTGAAGGCGGTTTCGGGTCCGTATTCAAAGGATGGATCGATGAGAACTCGTATGCCGCCACCAAGCCTGGTACCGGCATGGTTATTGCTGTGAAACGGCTTAATCAAGAGAGCTTCCAAGGTCATAGGGAATGGCTGGTGAGTTTCATTACATCTTATTGTTAGCTGCTACAAGTTTATGGCTATTTTTTTCATTGTCTAAATTGTAAATTGATGTTAAATTGTTAGATGATTAGGCATTAGAATAATCACAAAACTATTCATTAATGATTTTTGGGATTAGGAATGATTGTTGAAGTATTGATCACATTGGAAACAAGATTGTCATTAATGGCTTAATTTGTAAGGATTATGAACAATGTTGTAGTACTCATCTACTAGATTATCTGAATTTAGAGATGTAGTGATATTGAAATGTGTTATGTTATTGATGGCTTCTCCGGTTCTGGTTTTGTTAGGCGGAGGTGAACTACCTCGGGCAGCTCTATCATCCTAATCTTGTGAAATTGATAGGATATTGTGTGGAAGATGAACATCGCCTTCTAGTGTATGAGTTCATGCCTAGGGGAAGCTTGGAGAACCATCTGTTTAGAAGTATGCTTCCCATTTTGTGTTAAGACTAGCTCAAGTGATACAGAAGTATTAATCTTTCAACATAATTTTAATCACCTTAATGATTTGATTGTAGGAGGTTCGTACTTTCAGCCTCTTTCTTGGAACCTTCGCATGAAAGTTGCTCTTGGAGCTGCTAAGGGGCTAGCCTTTCTTCACAGTGCTGAAACAAAAGTTATATACCGCGATTTTAAGACCTCTAATGTCTTACTGGACTCGGTGAGTGACTGTCATGAATAAACTTCACTCATACTTCTAATCACATCATTTTGTTACTTCATTAGATGCTTCTTCAACATTCTGTTTAACATTTGAAATTTAGGAAGTGATTATGATGTATAGTTTACTACTGATTACAGAACTACACTGCAAAACTTTCGGATTTTGGGTTGGCCAAGGATGGACCAACGGGTGATAAAAGTCATGTATCAACTCGCGTAATGGGCACCTACGGATATGCAGCACCAGAGTATCTAGCCACAGGTATTTTAGATGCACATGCCTCGGTGTTCGTTTCTTTTTGCGTTTCTTCTCGTTTCTTTCCACAATTAGATGCCAGATTCTTTTCCTTGGAAGTATTAATGTCCACTATGAAAATAAAACTATGTCCTATTTGGACAAATGGCATTCTTGAATAACTCTTAACTTTGGATCTTGCTCACCCCTTCTTTGTTGTATACTAATATATTTGTCGTTCTAGTTCATTGCAGAATAAAAATATGTCGTATTTGGACAAACGGTTGTCTTGAATAGCTAGCTTCTTCGCCACCTTAAATCTTAAATTGCTGCTTGTTATGTATTATATTCATTATCTATAGTATATTGCTTGATCATTGCAATTTTTTAAATAGTTGCCTCAACTTGTTGCAATGCCTATCCTTACCATTTGGCTCTCCTCACATGCAATTTGTTTGATGTGGTGGAGGCGAGAGTTTACCCCATACGTAGGGCATCCACTCCCATACTCTGAATCCCGTTGTGAAAAAGTACACTTTGTTTCCTTAATCTAGTATTTAAAGCCAGTCGTTTTCTAAGCTCCACTTTTATTAATTTGTAGGTCACTTGACCACCAAGAGCGATGTTTATAGCTTTGGAGTTGTACTCCTTGAGATGCTCTCAGGCCGGAGGGCAATGGACAAAAACCGGCCATCAGGAGAACACAATTTGGTCGAGTGGGCCCGTCCTTACCTTACAAACAAGAGGAAAATCTTCCGCATCTTAGATAATCGTCTAGAGGGTCAGTATAGTTTGGATGCTGCTTTCAGAGTGTCCAGCCTTGCATTCAGATGCCTATCAACTGAGCCCAAGTTCAGACCTTTGATGAATGAGATAGTGAAAGAATTAGACCAGCTTCAAGATCCCTCCAAGGAAGCTCGAAGCAGTTCTAGCACCGGAGGCCGGGCTAGGAGACGGAGCTCACAAGAAAGTAGCACCAAGAGATCAATATCTGCCGTGTCATATCCTAGACCTTAGAACACCTCGTTCTATGCCACAGTATTTTGCTGCTAAGATGACAAAATCCCTTAATATTTTGCCCAAATTTAGGGGAATTGTGTTCTCAGGTCAGTTGAGATCCAAAGTTACCCTATAGTATATTTTTGGTTGTGAATGTACAGCTCTTGTTTCGACTAATGTAATTCCGCAGGATATTTTGATGTCAGTTAGTGACTCTTCGAGTATAAAATTAAGTTGCTATCTCCTAGATATATCCGACGCTCATGTAATGAGATGAATGTATTGTTCGTTTACCTCCTCTAATCCTAATCCTAAACTATACATTCGTGCCGTAAAAGAAAACGGAGGAAGTAGTAGATAAAATAGTCTTGACAAAATAAAGAAATTTCTCTCTAATAGTATTAGGTTGAAAAAGAGAAAAACATGATTTAAAAAGTGGAGTATTATTTCCAAGTTTACACGTGAAGTGAAAACATTGTAACCTTTTTGTCGGGTTTTTTATAATCACCTCAACACTAGACACAGTACAGCATCATTCTCATACAAATCTAAAAAGCTGTTTTTGGATTTTGGGTAAAAAAATAGAAAAGAGCAAAACAGTAGTTCCTTTCTTTCTCAAATCTTCTCTAGTTCTTTCTTGAATGACCTAAAGTCTGGACCTACTGTCTACTCATCGATAGAGGTAGCGCATGCTCATCCTATCCATCTATGCATTTCTGTTTTTGACAAAAGCTAAGAATTGGTGCAATTGCTTACCAATTACCATTACATGTGTATCTTAAGACATATGAATACAAGTACTCGAGCGGATTATACCATACCATACCATATCAATACGGAGTAAGACCGAAGATTTTCATACGACACTAACAAAAATTAGGGTGACTAAGATTGTTAATTATAATAGACTACTCCGTAGCTATATCCTATACATCAAATGTTTCAGTGTAATCGAACAAAGGCTACAGCATAAAATATGAAGAGTCTAGAACTCTATCATAAATTGAAAATATTGTAGTGGACAATGAAGACAGCCCATATCACGTATGGCTTCAAGCAGAGATAAAAGATTCACTCATTTCATGACTTGACCAGGATACCCATATGCATAGCTTGGGCCTTTGGCTCAGTTTTTGCCTTCTCTGTAAAACTTTATTTAAGAAGTAAAAGTGTAAAATTATGGATGTTTCAAACTTTAGAGGCATTAGAGTTGCATCTTTACTTATTTCAAAACTAGTAACTCTTTTATTTGTCAAAATCATACTTCATAGTTCATACTACAGCTGTCAAAAGTTGACTAGATCCAAAATACCGATTCAAACTCGATTAATAATCGACCCATCTGAACTTGAAAAAATGGTGACCCAAACCCGACCAGACCCGACCTGAAACCAACCCTAGATTTGATTGACCTGAGTATCCGAGACCTGAACCCGAACATGAACTGACCTGGAGATGACCCGACCCGAATGTAATCCGTAAATTATTGACCTGAACCGAACCCGACTTGAACCGAAATTGACCCAAACCCGTTTTAACACGTCAAAACCCAAATTTAACCCGACTTGTTACTAGCCTGACCTGAATTCAACCCTACCCGTTCCTAACCCGACCCAAATTTAACCCAACCTGTTACAAACTCGACACGATATCAACCCGACTTGTTATTGACCTGATCCAAATTCAACCCGACCCGAGTTTTACCAGACTTTATACTAACCCGACCTAAAAATTCAACCCGATTTGTTATTAACCCGACTCAAAATCAACACGACTTGTTATAACCCGACCTAAATTCAACCCAAATTGTTCCTGACCCGATTTCAAATCACCTTAAATGCAATTTAGACCACCTTATTATTGTTGATCAAAGCATTTTGTCTAGGGAGACCAAGTCGGTCCAGGCCAGCAAAAGAAAGGGGCATCATCCTCAATTTTAAGAGTTAAGTATAGTATATATTTGTTGTATGGTCAAAGGAGATAATTATCTTCCTAAATTATAGACTATAGTTCCCTATTATATTGTCTATATAAAGGATATAATTAGCTTGATAAAAATGATAATTGTCTATTTATAGCTAGTTGAATCCAAATATGACGTGACTTGGAAATAACCCAACCTGATTGTAACATGCAAATTATTGACTTGAACATAATTCGACTTGAATCCGAGAATGACCTGACTTGGAATTAACCTGACCTTATTATAACCCGCAAATTATTGACTTGAACCGAACCCGAATCGAACCCGAGAATGACCCAACTTGAAAATGACCCGACCTAATTATAATCCGCAAATTATTAACTTGAACCGAACCCGACTCAAATCCGAAAATGACCCGACCTGATTCTAACCCGCAAATTATTGAATTAAACAGAACCCGAGAATTACCCTAACCCGTGAAAACCCGAATTAAACCCGACCTATTGTTCACCCGACCCGAATGTAACCCAACCTGTTATTAACCCAATCCAAACCCGATAAGACTAAAGCGTGACCAAACCCAAACCCGACCCGCACAGGTTATGGAATTAATCCGAATTACCCCAACCCACTCTTATCGACCCAAACCCAACCCATTTACCCGAATTGACAGCTCTACCTGAAACCTCCAAAATTTCTCAAAAAGTGTGGATATTAGTCTTCAATTTTGGAATTTTTTTGACTTTTTTCGCCCGGAAATAAAAATGGCTGAAATGTTTACCGTTGTCCCTAATGTCCTCCATGAGTCCAATTGGGTGGGTGGAACCATCCTATTTGCCTTTAAACGGCCAATTGACCGATTTACAACTTGCACCGATTTCATTAATTCAAACTTACCACGAACATTTATGATAACATATAATGATTATATATGGTTCCAAACGATATTATATGACCCCGAGATGTATCTTCTAAAATCTCAAGTCTTTAAGTCAACGAGCCCCGAAACCTCCAAAAATTTTCAAAAAACGTGGATAATTAGACTTCAATTTTGAAATTTTTTGAATTTTTTTCACCCGTAAATAAAAATTGACGAAATGTTTATCACGGTCCCTAATATTCTCCGGGAGTCCAATTAGGTGGATAGAACCATCCAATTTCCCTTTAAACGGGACAATTAACCGATATACAACTTGCACCAATTTTATTGACTCAAGCCTACCACGAACATTTATGACAACGTGTAATGATTATATATGAATCCAAACGGTATTATATGACCCCGAGATGTATCCCTTAAATTTTCAAGGCTTTTCGACACCAGGCCTCGAAATCTCCCAAATTTCTCAAAAAGCATGGATATTAGTTTTCAAATTTGGAATTTTTTGACTTTTTTTTCCCCGGAAATAAAAATAGCAGAAATGTTTACTATGGTCACTAATACCCTCCAGAAGTCAAATTGGGAGGGTGGAACCATCCAATTTGCCTCTAAACGACCAATTTACCGATTTATAACTTGCACCGGTTACATTAACTCAAGTTTATCACGAACATTTATAACAACATATAATGATCATATATCGTTCTAAATGTCATTATATGACCCCGAAATGTATTCCCTAAAATCTCAAGATTTTTCGACACCGTGACCAAAAAACCTCTGAAATTTCTCAAAAAGCGTGGATATAAGCCTTCAATTTTTGAAATTTTTGACTTTTTTCCGCCTGCAAATAAAAATTGCCGAAATTTTTAACATGGTTCCTAATTACCTCTAGGAGTCCAATTGGGTGGGTTGAACTATCCAATTTGTCTTTAAACGGCTAATTTACCGGTTTACAACTTGCACTGATTTGATTAAATCTTGTCTACCATGAACATTTATGACAACACATAATGATCATAAATGGTTCCAAACGGCATTATATGACCCCCGAGATGTATCCTCTAATATTTAAAGTCTTTTCGACATCGGGCCTTGAAACCTGCAAAATTTCTCAAAAACGTGGATATTAGCCTTCAATTTTGGAATTTTTTGACTTTTTCGCCCGAAAAGAAAAATTCCCGAAATGTTTACCATGATCGCTAATAGCGTCCGGGAGTCCCATTGGGTTGGTGGAAACATTCAATTTGCCTTTAAACGACCAATTTATCGGTTTACAACTTGCACCGATTTTATAAACTAAAGCCTACCACGAACATTTATGACAACTATTGATTATCATATATAGTTCCAAACGGCATTATATGACCCGGAGATGTATCCCCTAAATTTTCAAGACTTTTCTACACCGGGCCCCGAAACCTCCAAAATTCTCAAAAAACGTGGATATTAGTCTTCGATTTTGGAATTTCTTGACTTTTTTCGTCCGGAAATAAAAATTGCCGAAATGTTTACCCTGGTTCTTAATACTCTCCGAGAGTCCGTTTGGGTTGGTGGAATCATCCAATTTGCCTTTAAACGACCAACTTACCGGTTTACAACTTGCACGGATTTCATTAATTCAAGCATACTACGAACATTTATGATAACATATAATGATCATATATGCTTCCAAACGGCATTATATGACCCCGAGATGTATCCCCTAATATATCAAGACTTTTCTACACTGGGCCCCGAAACCTCCAAATTTTTTCGAAAAACGTGGATATAGCCTTCAATTTTGGAATTTTTTAACTTTTTTTTCGCCCGAAAATAAAAATTGCCGAAATGTATAACATGGTCCCTAATACATTCTGGGAGTCCAATTGGGTGTATGGAACCATCCAATTTGCTGTTAAACGGCTAATTTACCGGTTTACAACTTGCACCGATTTCAATAATTCAAGCCTACCACGAACAATTATGACAACAAATCATGATCATATATGGTTTCAAACAGCATTATATGACCCTGAGATATATCCCGTAGAATTTCAAGACTTTTCAACACCGGGCCTCGAAAAAGCGTGGATATTAGCATATAATTTTGGATTTTTTTTTTTTGCCCGGAAATAAAAACTGCTGAAATGCTTACCATGGTCCTTAATACCCTAGGGAATCCAATTGGGTGTTTGAAACCATCCAATTTGCTGTTAAACGACCAATTTACCGGTTTATAACTTGCACCGATATGCTGGTTTACAACGGCCACTTTAATTAACTTGCACCGAAACTGACTTGAACAGATATTGACCCTAATCTGTTTTAACCCGTCCAAACCTGAATTTAATCCGACATGTTAATAACATGACCTGAATTCAGCCTGACCCGTTCCTAACCTGACCCGAATTTAACCCAACTTGTTACAAACCCGGCCTGAAATCAACCCAACTTGTTATTAACCTGACCCAAATTCAACTAAACTTGTTATTGACCTGACCCGTTACTAGACGTGTTACTTATCCGTCCCAAAAATTCAACCCGATTTATTACTAACCCGACTCGAAATTAACACGACTTGTTACGACCTAAATTCAAATCAAATTGTTCTTAACCCGATTTCAAATCACCTTAAATGCAATTTTGACCACCTTATTATTGTTAATCAAAGCATTTTGTCTAGGGAGATCAAGTCAGTCCAATCCAGCAAAAGAAAAGAGCATCATCCTCAAATTTAAAAGTTAAATATAGTATATATTTGTTGTATGGTCAAAGGAGATAATTATCTTCCTAAATTATAGACTATAATTCCCTAGTATATTGTCATATATATTATAGTCAAAGGAAATAATTAGCTTGATAAAAATGGTAATTATCTATTTATAATTAGTTCAACCCGAAAATGACGTGACTTGGAAATGACCTGACCTGATTGTAACCTGCAAATTATTGACTTGAACATAACCCGACTTGAACCCGAGAATGACCCGACTTGAAAATGACCCAACCTGATTATAACCCGCAATTTATTGACTTGAACCGACCCGACTTGAACCTGAAAATGACCCGACTTGAAAATGACTCGACCTGATTATAATCCGCAAATTATTGACTTGAATCGAACCCGACTCAAACCCGAGAATGACCCGACCCGATTCTAACCCGTAAATTATTGACTTGAACCGAACTCAACTTGAACCCGAGAATTACCCTAACCCGTTTTAACCCGTGAAAACCCGAATTAAACCCAACCTATTGTTCACCCGACCCGAATATAACCCGACCTAAACCCGATAAGAAGTATGACCCGACGTGACCCGACTCAAGCATGACTCAACCCAAACCCGACCTACATAGGTTATGGAATTAATTCTAATTGACCCGACCCGAGTTGACTCGACCCACTCTTACCCGATCCAAACTCGATCCGTTTACCCAAATTGACAACTCTAGTTCATACTGCATAAAGATTTTTAACCAATTAAGACCAATTTCTCTTATATGTTTATAGTTGAAAATAAGAATCATTAGACTCTCTCTAATGGTGAGACTCAAATGAGTTTCTTTAAGAGAGAGAGAGAGTATTTTTTGCAATGAATACCAATAAGTTGGTATCTAAACTTAACAACTCCAAAAGAAAGTTGCTAATTTTAGATACTCAACTTTGAGTCTCATTTGAGAAAATGTGTGGGCCCCATGTCAATATTCTAATAATTTTGTAATTTATTTAAGTTTTACCTTTTTTTTAATCTTACAATATTTGATATTAAAAATAAATGGATTTGGTGAGCCAAATTGAAAGTGACATTTGTATATTTTGGAGAGTCTCACCATTGGGAAATTAGGCTTCATATGAGTTGCTAAATTGAGAAGTGAGTATGGTATCACAATTGGAGGTAAAAAACAACTCATTTTGTATTTCAATACTCAAATTTGAGTCTCACCATTGAAGATAGTCTTATACCTATATTGGGTATTAAAAAATTAAAATTAGATACTCTACTTTGTATGTTTTAAATCAAATTAAAAAAATATTTTAATACTTCCACATTCGAGTCAAATGCAGTGGATACATGGTACGGAGTACAACGTACAATTGTAGAAATGTATGATGCTATTGAGGCAAGTTTTTTTTTGTTGGAACTTGAATTTCACTTATTTCAATGCAATTAGCTTTTGATCACCCAAGATCCTCATAAATTGATTATATTTCCCTTTTCTTCCTCTTTATTTAACCAGATTAAGGGCATGTTCTCATTGATTGAACTCAGCTGAACTGAACTGAATTGAGCTGAACTGAACTGAACTGAACTAAACTGAGATGAATATTTTATACGAGAAGGAAATTAGGAGTTGAGCTAAACTGAACTAAACTGAACTGAGCTGAGCTGAGCTAAACTGAACTGAATTTCAATATAAGAGAACAGACCCTAAGTATTCCTAAGTTCTAATGTTCCATATGATGGTACTCCGTACCTTTTTCAGTTTTTGTACACTATACAACATTCTATATCAGGGTAAGTTTTAATCAATTTTAGAGTTTACTGTAATTTTACTATGTAGTATCCAATGTCTTTAACGGGGATGAAAAGAAGGTAAATATCTAAGTTGATCCATACTTGTATTATAGAGACCCCAAGGCTCTTTGACTGCTCCATTACAGATTTATGCAGAATCATCACAAAACAAACTGACCAGAAGGCCCAGGCCCATGCATGCCCCTTTATTTTTATCCAACTCTCCATAAAATTAATGATACTTTTGCTGTGAAAACAAATGACATTACACTTAAAACATTTTACCAAGAATAGAGAATGGTGAACCAAATGCAGGGAAAAAAAAAGGCCTTAAAATTACACATTCAACTGCAGTATTCATGCAGAAAAAAGAGATCAAATAACATCTTACTCGTCAACTAAAATGCAAAGCAAGCCTCAACGTTGAAGCTTTCCTAGGCACCGAGTTACACCTAATATCTACATATTCAGTCACCCTCACTTTCCCATCTAGGCAATCAAGGAAGGAGGATTTTGATACAAATTAAATAAATCATAAAAACAAAATTTGCATCTAACCTATTAATGAAAATAATTTTGATACACTTTTTAACATCAGCTAGCACCCAAAACTCGAAAAGGGGGACTTTTCCTCTTCTCCAAGGGTGATTTCATATCACAAAGTTTTGACTAAACCAGGAGTCCAGTTTTTCCAATCTAGTTTCCCAATAGATTTGTTCTTCAAATTGACCTTTTCTTTTATTTCCCGCACCTTTCTCAGGTACTTTTTCCCTGGTTTGGTGGGTTCAGTATCTGCATCCAGTTCTTCACTCTCATCTTCAGCTGCTTGGACAACAGGCTTGGACTCAGTTTCTTCCTCTGAAGATGCTTCATCCATTATACTACCTAGTACCTCTACAACTTCGCTCATTTTAGGGCGGGTTTTGGGTTGCTTAGCAAGACACTTGTTTGCTAATGATGCTAATCTTTGAGCTGATTTTTTGCAGTACTGCCCCTCTAGCCGTGAATCAACAATCAAGTGGAACTTCTTTGAATCTGATATAAAGGGTCTAACCCACTCCAAGAGCTTCTGCTCTCCTCGTGGAAGGTTTTTCTCAACTGCCCGTCTTCCTGTTATAAGCTCATAGAGAACCACACCAAAACTCCATACATCACTCTTGATTGTTAATTTTCCAGTAAGGACATATTCAGGTGCTGCATAACCCACTGTTCCTACAACCTATATATGACACAGTTGATTGCGTTAGAAGGCTTTACAGTTGGAACATCCTAATCCCAATAAATTAAAGTTAGGTAACTCAAGCTCCATGACTTAGGTCTCTGAGCTGGATAGTTTATAATGATTAATTCCAGTTTCCAGGCCATCAAAATCATTACTACGTAAACTACTAGCAAACACCCCTTATAGTAAGACATTTCAGAAATAAACACCTATAGGTTTTCAACCATGCAACTACTAGAGAGGTAGATGGCTATATTGACAGTTTAAGCTCTTCTATTCATATATCTGAGTCTAAAAATCAACAGATTAAAAAAAATAGGCTCGGTCACTTACAGAACGAGACTAGGAAAAGGATTCGATGATACGTTCCACTAGCTCCAGAATCTCAATTTCATAAACAATGCATAATAAGCCCTTGAAACATGATAGATTTCAGAAATAAGCAACGGAAGGCTTCCAAATAATGTAATATGTTCAGCTAAAGATGTAGAATTGGTCATTTGTTAAGCGGGAAGGGAATAAGTTAGTGCATTATTTAGCTTCAACCTTGGGAAGTGGGGCAATGTTTGTGGTTGGACGGTATCCCGTCTCATATCCTTGATTTAGCTTTTGCCGATTTATCTAATTAGTCCCCGTTGTGGGTTTCTTCAAAAAAAAAAATGTAGAATTGGTGATGCCTTGAGCAAACTAGCATTTATATTTGACCAAGCATTAAAATATATCCTCTTAGCTAACATCCAATAATACAAAACTTGTCAAATTATGTAGGCCCCAGAGCATAGGCTTACAAAATTAGTTAATGGACTTACCGCAGTTGAAATATGACTATATCCCTCTGCCGGCCCCAGCCTAGCAAGTCCAAAATCTGAGAGCTTGGCATTAAAGTCTTCATCCAACAAAACATTTGATGTTTTAAAATCTCGAAATATTAGCTGCATGAAGCCGATTACCAAACATAATCAACATCAGATTCTTAACGAATAATTGTGATGAACGTGAAGGCATATATTAATTTTTTCTAAGAATATGAAGCTGCAAAGTACCAACCATGTCATATTCACCACCAAACATGAAGAAATAAAATATTCCATCAGTCACCATTGGTAACTTGGGTGAACAATTTTCTCAAACCAATGAAAGCAATATCTGTGATTGTAAAGAATTTTCCATATAATAACCCATCTAGTCAAGTAGATCTAAGATTTCTAGGATGGGAATATAAAAGAAAATTGCGACTTAAGAGCATACACTTCCACCATATTTATTTTTTATTTTTTTCTAATAAATGTTTTAATCTTGTCATAATTTGGAGGGGTAAGGCCTTACCCCGACTCCCTGAGTACCAAGCTAGATCCCCAAATGTGCCACAACTCTAGTAATCTAGTTAGCCTATGTACCCTATCGTATCAATAACAACTGATTCTAGCTTTAAACTTCTTTTTCCCCACCATGATCATACCCTTAGGACTATAAAAAGTTGAAATCTCTCACATGTTCTTGAAGAGCAAAACATAGTTGTTAAAGAATATAAAATTAAAAGGCAAATTCAGTTTAGTTATGAGCATTTCTACACATCTAATAGATACAGGTCAGCAACATCTTCGTCAAGCACACGGAAGCAGAACAGTTAGAGAAGTATTCTAAACAGCTTTGTCAAGGAAATTGAACTTTTAAAAGTCAACCAACTCAGCCATATTAAACTCTATCAAGTATTACCATTAATCTGCAGGCAGCATCTAAACAAGAGCAGAGAGGAGAGCCTGCCTTTTGTCTATTACAGACATTACAGTTAATAATCGTGTGAGATTTTATAAGCCATCACTAACAGCCAAAAAGCATTAAGCCGCCTAGATGCTGGACTCTATTAAGATATTCCAATGATAAAAACAAAATTCATGGGTATAGAACTAAGATTTGGTACCTGAAAATCCATTTCCTCATGCAAATACGCCAATCCACGAGCTGCATCCTGCGCAATTTTCAGTCTCGTCATCCATGGCAAGGGTGATGACATCCGACCCAACAGATGATCCTCCAGGCTTTTGTTCTTCATGAGTTCATACACCAAAAGCCTTTGCATTCCCCTTTCATCATCTTCAGCACAATATCCAACTAATTTGACAAGATTTGGGTGCTTAATTACGCCTAACCAATTCACTTCATTGATCCACTCTTTATGCCCCTGCTAACTAGAATGGTAAATCAAAAACCCCATAAAGGCACACCATGTTAGACATCACATATACAAAGGAATCAAATCTCAAGTCACAAGGAAAAATAATCGCAATTAAACACTGAAAATCGAAATGTGAACCTACATTCAGCTTACTCCTCCAACACACAATTATTCTATATGAAAGATACAAACTTTGGTGTAACAAGTTATTTTATCACAAATTAACCGGTCAATAATCCACCTAGAACAATACCAAAAAAACAAAAAAACTACAAAAAACAATGAATAAGTCCAAGTCCCAAATTCATACATTTCCTCTTGGGCTTCCAACTGAGCCAACATCTGCATTTTCTTCTCCCTAGACAAACAAAATACCTTTATTCCCACTCCTAAGAGCATACACAATGGTTGCCCAACCCCATCTTGGTTATTGATTATTTTATTATTTTATCCATCTTCCACCTCACTTATAACCACTCTTATAACCATTTAATAACCAATGTATGCCAATAGTTAACCATAATATTTTGGTTATACATTTTCTCTCTCCTACTTTTACCCAACCCCACCACACAATTTATTACTTAAATTCTATTATTATTAAATAATGCATTTGGTAATAATCATTCAAAATTAATAATTATTTATTAGCATACATTAATTAGATAAAATCTCAAAAATTTAAAAATAATGCAATTTTGATATTAATTAGTATGTAATTAGTCGTTAATTAAGACACAAACAATAATTGTAACCCTACTACATTCCACAATAATAAAAATCATACATATATATTCTATCAAATGACAAAAGTCTTTGAAAGATAATAACGAACCGCGAACAAGTACAAACACAATGATATAATATTGCGATTACACATCTATTAATGCATATTATTGTCCCTACTTTGAACACCGAATTTGAGCCACATATGTTCAACTAAGTCTTTCTTCAATGCTTTATGCATAGCTTCATCACGAACACGTGCTCTATTAGACATGTAAGTTTCCAAACTTGCAATTCGGTTGTTGCTATTTTGGAACTGAAAAGGCTCTTCATTATTTTCATTACTTGAAGACGCATTTGTAGCTTGATCATATTCATTTGGATCGTAATACGTTTTATATGTATCTCTTTCATCCTCAACAATCATATTGTGCATAATAATACACGCTATCATTATTTTTCCTAACATTGATGCGTCACGAGCTAGCGCTGGATTCCGTATTATTGCAAAACGAGCTTGTAATACTCCAAAAGCACGCTCAACGTCCTTTCGTTTAGCTTCTTGTACTTTGGCAAATAGACCTTCTTTTTCATTTTGTGGTAGTGATATTGTAGGAATGAATGCCGCCCATTTAGGATATATACCATCAGTGAGATAATATCCCATATTGTATGTGCGACCATTCACAACATAGTTAATAGAGGGTGCACAACCTTCAAAAACATCATTAAACAATGGGGATCTATCAAGAACATTAATATCATTACGACTACCTGGTGTCCCAAAAAAGGCATGCCAGATCCAAAGATCATATGATGCCACAGCTTCCAAGATTAATGTGGGTTTACCTGGTCTTCCAGAAAACATACCTTTTAATCGAAGTGGACAGTTTTTCCACCTCCAATGCATACAATCAATAGAACCTAACATGCCAGGAAATCCACGACGTTCACCAATCCTTAGTAGTCTTACTAGATCTTCTTCATTGGGCTTTCGAAGGTATTCATCACTAAAGTAAGAGACTATTCCTTCCACAAAATGCTGAAGTGAATCTCTTGCAAGAGATGCACTAATCCGAATGTAGTCATCCACAGAATCAGCGGAGGTGCCATAAGCTATTAGTCTCATAGCCGCGGTGCATTTTTGTAATGCAGAGGCACCAAATCTTCCTGTAGCATCTTGTCTTTGCTGGAAGAAGGGATGACGTTCTTCTAAAGTTTGCTTAATTCGTTGAAATATATGTTTGTTCATGCGAAATCTCCGACGGAATAATTGTGGAGGGAACACAGGATGGTCGGTAAAGTAGTCATTCCATAAGCTTATAATACGATTATAAGAAGAGACATGTAATTTAACTTAATAACTCCATAAGTATTCAAACTACAAATCAGACCTTAAGTACATAAAAAAGAACAATAAAAAAGGAATTATTTGAAATCAACCAACATTACGACAATAATCAACCATACACTAATACATTAGTCTGAGGGGAACAACTTCTTCAACAAAGTGCTCCTTAATTCTTGATCTTCCGAAGATAAGTTTGGCTTTGAATCGAGGTGTTTAAATAACTCCATATTAATTTTTCTTTGCTTCCTTGCTTCTTTCTCCCTTTCTAGTTGCAACCTTGTAAGTTCAACTTCATTTTCTGATTGCCTTAGAAGGTTCATGTTCTGGCAGTGTCCAACCATTGTTGCCATGCTCCATTTGGCATGTTTGGCACCTTGCTCTTTCCTTTATTTTTACTAGATTCGTTGCTAGAAGGAAAGCCTGAATACCCAATATCACCACTGGTTGGTGTTTCTGGGTTTGATGAAGAGGAGTAGTTTCCAGCTTCATTGATACGAGATCTCTTTGAGTCACTTCCTTGAGTGGATGTCTTTTCCTTGCATTTTTTAACAACATCTTCACTTGGTTTCCATGCTTCATGTTGTTTTAAGATGTCCCAAACATGCTTGTCTTGAAAGGTTTTAGAGCATAATGAAGACTTTGTTTTGTCGTTAGCATATATACTATATGCTAATTTCATAACATCTTCATCATTCATACCACTTCCCTTTTTTGATTCAGCATGAGCATGTGAGCCACAAAATTTAGAACATGAAGCATTAATCCTTCTCCAACGGTTTCTAAGTTGCTCCGTACCCCTCATTTTCAACAAATCTTCTCGTGTTACCCGATCAGTACCTTCTTCGAAACACCTTTGTTTGTATAGTCTAACATTATTATACATTTCTTCAATTTTCCTCCAAAAAACATCCCCCTTTTGGTTAGTGTTAGTTTTTTTATTTTGACTAACCTCAAGCCAAGCCTTCACAAGAACCACTTCTTCAGCTTTTGACCAAAAAATTTTCCTTCCATCTTGATTGCCTCCTTCATTACCTCTTTCATTACCTTCGCCTTCTTCAACTTCTGGTTCATTTTCGTCATCTGATGCATTCGATGTGTATGAACAATCGAAACTCGAAAATGCACCATCACCTTGTGACATAGAAAAATGTTGAGACATGGGAAATGTTGAATCAATTTGAGAGATTTGAATATTTTCAAAAGATGGGATAACATTTGGAGAATTTGAATAATTAGGATTTTGTGGTGGTTGAAAAGGAAACGGAGTGAAAGTACTTGGATTTGAGAAATTGAGATTTTGTGAACCGTAATTCGGAAAATTTTGAAAATTTGTATCTAAATCTGAGTTGAGATCAATTGGAAGATTAGAATAGTAAGGTTGAGGATTTGGATTATTTTGGGGCTGTGATGAGTTATGAGATTTTGTGGATTTTTTTTTTCTGTTAGATTTTGGAATGTTCATCTTAACACAATTTGCCAATAAGAAGAGTAATTTTCACTTAAAAAAAGTTGTTTCAAAATACTTCAATATTGGGCTCATTTTATAGAGAAAAATAAAATAGAGCCGTTGGTGTATTTTTTTTTTTTTTTCAGAATTGTATTTTAAAAATTATGGCCGTTACAAAAATTACAACGGTTATAAATTCAGAGCAAATCTCAACCATTGATATTTGTATTACGTGTCAAAATCTTAGCCATCCATGTCAACCAAAAAGCAAAAAAAAAATTGCATGACCAAGCTATGATAACCGGTTATTGAAATAACCAGGTTATTAATATTTTCCACCAAAATTTTCTCTCTCCTCATTATTTTATTATTTTCTCACAATCTCTCTCCTAATAACCACCCCAAGTGGTTATTTGCTGTGTCTACTCTAACCCCCATAAAACTAAATTAATCAAATGATTTCTCTTCTTGTTGAGTGTATTCTAAGTTAAGACAGAATAATAGCAATAATAATGTTCCCAAATCAACATAATCACTCAAAAATTTACACATTCACCATTTTCTCAACTGAAAATATAAAACCTAATCCGTAAACAAAAAAAAAAACGCTACAAGTGTACTCCATAACATTAATTACACCAATAGACACGTGATTTTACGAATTCAAAAAACAACACCAAAGCACATTTTGCAATCAAACTTTCCAAAACACTAAGATAGCATATGTACTGTATAAATTAACAATGCATTTCAAAATAAATTGAAATTAATAAATCAAAATAAGAAGGGAGATGAGATAACATGCCTGGGAACCATAACGATTAAGCTGCTTAACAGCGACATCAATCTTGCAATTCACAGAATCATCAAACTCAAAATCATCGCAATCAAAAACCCTAACATTATCAACAACACCTCTGTAAACACACCCAAATCCTCCTTCACCAATCAACAAGCCTCGACTAAACCCACGAGTTGCCGATTTCAACTCAGCAAAAGTAAACGCTTTCAGATCGTTACAAACTCGGCGATTCTGAGCTAGGAGAGAGAAAAACCCAGCTGACTCGCCGGAAAACTCCGAGTCTCCGGCGAACTCCGACCGCCGTACTTCGGTGGTACTTGAGCTAGTAGTACTACTAGCTATACTCAAAGAACGAGCCCATGAAACTCTTGCTCTTACTGATGAAACGACATCGTCTTCTCCTTCTTCGGATCTTCTTTCACCATTTGTGAAATGGAAGCACTTCATTGTTAAAAGTTTTAATCTTTTTTAATTTATTTGATTAATTTTGTTGAACTGAAAAATGGGGAAGAAGAAGAAGGAAAAGAGGAGAGAGAAAAGGGAAGAGAGAGGGTGGTTGAAGAGTGGAGGTGAGGGGATCAACTAACATTGGATGTTTTAATGGAGAGATTAATAAAATAGTGATTCACAATTAATTGGAATAATAATAATTAACAAACCTTAATAATTAAGGAAATATGAGTAGAGTATTAATAATGTCAGATGATTTTTAGTTTAAAAGAACATAATGCAGAATTTGAGTAAAAAAAGATGGGATTTTTGAATTTATAAAAAAAGAAAAGAAAGAAAGGAATTGAAAAGATCACGAGGGTGCAGAGAGAAAGAGGAGGAGGGAAGAAGAAGGCAAACAATGTCAGATGTTACCGAACGGTTCCTTGTGGTAGGACCTATCTTGTGCCCCGGCAGTTATATTGGGTTTTGGGTATATTCTCGATTTTCTTTTTCGACTTGCTTTCTCCGTTCCTATTTGTTTGTCCTACGTACTCTTTATTTTTGAAAAAACCGTCGAGTGATACTTTATTATGACACTATTAGTAATAAGTTGATAACACATCTCCGATCTCCACCATTTATGTACATTCATAAAAGCTGAAAAGAACAGGATAATATCAATACATTTTGGCTATATGGAGTAAATAAATAGAGATGGAGGGAGATTTTTTTTTAAATACAAGTAATCATTTTGAAATTTTCTACTTTGGTGTCTTTAGGCATGGCAATTTGGCAAAATGATGTAGTACTTTGGTGACTCGGCCATAAAAACTAAAGAAACATACTTGTACTTATTAATTTGGTGACTAGTGTTTGTCATTCATTAATATTAAGAACTTGAGATTACAATTATTAAATGCAACGTTAATGTAGCGTTGCTTACACATACGTTATAAGTTGATGATGATGTGACATGCCTTAAAATCAAACTTAACCTTTATTCTTTTTTTTTTTTATGGAACTTAACCTTTATTCAAATTTATTATCTTGTCACAACTTAATCCAGTATTGATTTGTGAGTCATGACGCCTTGAAACAATATCCATACAATTGTTCATAAGACAAACAATACAAGTACGATATTTAAGCTGTCCTAATAATTATCATATTATCCTTCAAATTGATGTGTCACAATGGATTTTTGCAATAAAAACATTTAACTTGTAAGATTATCATTCAAGTAAACCATTAAAGTTAAGCATTACCAAACGTACATAGAAAAGGCGAAGTCCATGGCACAAACATAACAAGTTGGCAATCCTGGCATGTCAAATTGAGAGAAGTTGAGCCATTCACATTGGGTTGCCCTTCAATTTAAAAGACTGGCAACATTGGTTTTGGGCTAGATTAATCATCAACACCAACTTCAATATATAGCCCAAATTGTAAAATTGACTTGACCAATTGACCATTTTACAATTTAAAGAGTTCATTGATTAGACTCCAATAACACGTGTCAAATGAACAGTTGTTAAAAAACTTTCCATTTTCTGCAACAAAACACACACCTCCCGCTCAAAAACAGACTGTTCCGTTTCCACTTCTGATCACACTACACACCCCGCCTCGTCACCTTGCTCACACACTCTGTACTATATTCCTCCATTTTCTCTCTCCTCTCTCTACAAAATACACTACTCATTTTTCTTCTCTATTCATACAAAAAATCTGGGTTATTTTGATACCAAGTTCATAACTTTATCAACCTCCATTAAAATCACTAAAAACCTTTCTTCAAAAGTTTATTAGGGTTTTCTCCGCTCTCCATTTATCCTAAAATCACATTGGTAAGTTTCAAAAAATCTGAACTTTTGCTCGTTTTCTTACATGGGTTTTGTTGGGGGTTTTTGTTTTTTCTATGATTTTACAATTTTTTCTCCATTTAATCGGTTTTTTTTTTTAATTTTTTTTTTCTTCTTAGTTTTCTGGTTTGAAGGCCGAAGCTCCGCCGCCGGAACCGTTGCAACTCCCCAGAAGCCGTCCAAAGCAGTGCAACCACAGTCAAAAGAGGTAAACTCGAACCCCTCTTATCAGTCATCACTATCTCTCCTCCGTCACATTTTATTTAATAAGTCTGCCAAATAAGGAAATTTTCTTTGTATTTTTAGTTATATTACATTTCATTGCTAGAAGTTTGTGGGTTTATGCAATTTAAGCTAGAAGTTTGTGTTTCTTGCAATTTGATTAATTATTTCAGATTATGTATGAATTTTGTTTATTTCTGTAAAATAAGATAATAATATGTCATGTTGGGCGAGATTAATTTATGTTCCGCAGAAATGTTTGTGTGCGCTGAAATAAGTAAGAAGTACTGTATCTTTTTAACAAAAATGTTAGAGATAATATCGGAAAAATTAATTTTAGCATTTGTAAGTAAATTTTCATGTTTGATGAACTTCAAATTCTTATATCATTGTTTGTGGGTTGTTTTTGTGCTTCTAGTTCAAGCATTTGCTGCGGATAGAACATCATTTGAATGCGAAAATGTCACGAAAGGTATCTTCTGGCTTACTATTCTGCAATTTTATTGCATTTGAATAAGTTTTAAGTTAGACATTAATCACATTATATCCTTGTGGTTTTTGTATATGATGTTTAATGGTTTTTGTTCATGATAAAACTGATACTCGTAATGGTGATTGTTTAGTTATCCTAGTTGGTATTACATGTCAACATACTTGTGTTTGAGTAAGTTTAACTGAGGGTGTAAATTATAAAGTTTGTGTGCTACAGTTGCTGGGAACTCTAGTGAACTTTTCTTTTACTGAATAATTATTGTTTAGTTTAAGGGGGTTTTCTCTTCTTGTTCTACCTTCACTTGGATATCAATGCTTTACTATCATGTATGTGCTGCATATTAGGCTGAATTTGTTGTTTTGCTCTACTGTTGTCATAACTTATAGTCTGTAAAAAACTTGTGAACATCATGCATTTGAAATTTTGGTACTTGGAAAGTTCTTAACCTTGATTGCTTCAAGCAGCTCCTTGTACTATTTCTTCTTACCTAGAGTAAGGAGTAGATTTTGTGGTTCTATGGTGCTAACTGAATGTTTTTATTTTGTTTCTCCTGGTTTTTGGTATTGTAACATTTTCATCTGAAGATGAAGCACTCAAATTCTGATATAAGTGAATCAGAACTGGATGATTATATAGATGATGTCTATTATCGATTGAAGAAAGATAGATACAAAGTTAAGTTATCAAAGGATACATTCAGGTGTCCATTTTGTGATGAAAAGGAGAAAAAGGACTACTATTTTTATGATCTTTTGGATCATGCTAGAGCTTTAGGAAAAGGCCCTACTAGGGATGGTGTTAAGCTTAAGGGGAAGCATAAAGCCCTTGGTTACTACCTGGATAAGTATCATCGTCCTAGAGTATCATCTTCTGGTAAAGGCATTTCACAGGTGAAGCATGATGACAAGGACAGTCCAAGAGTATCATCAATGTCTTCTGGAAAAGGCACTTCACTGGTGAAGAATGATGACAAGTACAGTCCAAGAGTATCATCAATGTCTTCTGGAAAAGGCACTGCACTGGTGAAGCATGATGACAAGTACAGTCCTAGAGTATCATCAAGACCCTCTGAAAGAAGCATTTCACAGCTCAATGAACGTGATGACACTGAAAATGCCATATTTTTTGACAAGGACTTTGAGGTAAATCACCAAGGCAGGCGAGAATGGTATTCAAGAAGGGAAGATGCTCGTGGGAATAAACTTTATGGATGGATAGCAAAGGAGAAAGACTATCTCTTGAATGATCTGGTTGGGAAGCATCTGCGTGACAATGGAGATGTCAAAACTTTGGCTGACCTTATCGCCGAAGAAAAAAGGAAGGGAAACTGCCTAGTTTCAAACCTCAGTCAGACCAAGGAAGTGAAGGATAAGCAGGAAAAAGAAATAAAGAAAAAGCTCAATGAGACGTGTGCTGCTTTAGAGAAGGTAATTGAGGAAACAGATAAAATGACCCACGCTTACAATGAAGGTATGTATATGAACATCTATGCATAATCTGTTTCAATTGTAATTTTGATTTCTGTTCTTTTAGTTTTGCAATTGCAGTGTAATGTATTCTTTTCCATGTTTTTGTGTTGAAAGTTTAAAAGCAATCTCATGTTTCTTTCTTTTCCTGGGCAGAGATGGAGAGGATGAGAAACCGGACAGTTAAGGATAAGGAGAAGATACTGCATGACCATGAGAACTTTAAGCACAACCTAAAATTTCAGAAGGATAAGCTGGAGAAACATGAAATATTGTTGGAGAAACGTGAAGCTGATTATGACAACAAGATAATCAAGCTTCGACGCCAGAGGAAAATGGTACAGTCTAATCTTTTGAGCTTTAAGCTGGTTATTACATCAGTATAAGCTGGTTATTACATCAGTATTAGTTATAGCAATTAAATTCTGAACCTGTTTACTGAGCACTGAGCTCTAATATATAATTATTGAATATTTAAATGTGGTTTCATCCTGAATTACTACCTTTGAAGCATGGTTTTGGCTTTCTGTTGCTGTAAGAGATTAGTTTTCCTTGGTTTCAGAATGATTTAGCAACACAGGAACAACATCGGTCAGAACAGAAAGTACTAAAGCTTGTTGAGGAGCATGAGGTAAATTCAGAATAAATACATCAATCTTGTGATGAATACATACTGTGCTGATCTGCCTTATACATACACTGATTTCCAGAGGGAAAAGGAGGCGCTCCACAAGAAAATCATTGATCTGGAAAAACAGACTGATCAGAGGCAAGCATTAGAGTTGGAGATAGAACAATTGAAAGGAGCTGCTCAAGTTATGGAACATATGGGAAGGGATTCTGAAACCAAGAAAAAAATGGAAGAAATCAATGAAGACCTGAAAGACAAGGAAGAAGAACTGGAGTGTTTAGACGCTCTATATCAGACCCTGATAGTCAAGGAGAGGAACTGCAATGATGAGTTGCAGGATGCACGCAAGGAATTGATAACTGTAAGTGTATAATTTTTTTGACTATCATATAATGAGTCTGTGCTTGTGTTAGTGCTTAAAGCTTGAAATTCTATATTTATTGTAGGGGTTGAAGGAGAGGAAAGCTGTCCGTGCTAACATTGGTGTGAAAGCAATGGGTTGTCTTGATAAAAAAGTTTTCGAAAGTGTGGCCAAAGAGAAGTACTCCGAAGAAGAAGCACCAGCCAAAGCCAACGAACTTTATGATTTGTGCCTAGAGTATATTGGAGATCATGACTGGAAGCCTTTCAAATCTATTACTGAGTGTGGACAACCCAAGGTATATCTGTTGTATACTTTTGTCTAATATTGGTCTTTTTGCATTAGTCCATGGATTATTTTTTAAGATTGGGGTGGAAATTTCACATGCTTCAATGGTTGGGTTTTTGCTACTGGTATAATATTTTGTGGTCGGAAGTAACTTACAACCATGAAGTGCAGTCTTGTGTCTACATCTTTTGTTGATGTGTCCTTAAAGAAACAGAAAGGGCAATGGAAGATCGAGATTGATTTCAGGTTCTGGAGTGACTGTCCTAAGCATTATTGAACATATATTACATTAGTTAGTATCAGCAAATCTATTAGTTCCTTGAAAAACTAGTAGCTCTCAATTTAGCAAAATTCAAGTTGTATGAATATATATAACTGAAGTCTGTCCCCTAATGGTAGCCATAACATATCAAAATGATAGTAATAATGGCTATTTGTATTATAATACAGTGGTTTATCTAAGCTTAATTACATGCTTTTCAATTTTTAATGCTTCCTGTTATTACCTTTTACTAAGTACATGTCCTTTGTCTGCCTACTTAGGAGGTTATAAATGAAGAAGATGAGAGATTAATTATGCTGAGGAATGAACACGGAAAGAAGGTTTGTCAGGCTGTTGCCACTGCAATGAGCGAGCTTAATGAATACAATGCTAGTGGTCGATATCAAGTACCTGAACTTTGGAACATGAAGGATAACAGAAAGGCAACTTTGGGAGAAGCTACAGAGTACGTGGTTAACCTTTGGAGATCACACAAGAAGAAAAAATAGCTGAATCTTCTGTATGTCAACTTGTCAAGGATAACTTTTTTTGCGCTAACTTAACCACATTACCAAAGCTGTGCATAAACTAAAACACATGAAACTCTTATCTAAGGTGGTAGTATCTGTTTAATAACATACATTTACTCTGAAAATCTGAAGTTGATATTATTGTGAAAAGGCGTTATGCTTATGTAATTAAGCCTTTACTCCTCTGTTTTGCAAATTCTAAATTTCTAATTAGCATTACAGATTTTTAGTTGTGATCTCTGGCAGGGGGCAATTTGCCTTGAGCCCAACCGGCCCATGGTTTTTGGCCCAATAACATCTTAACTCCTTCCTGGGCCGGAAGGACAAGCCTTGGTCTCATCTAGATAGGCCCAATGGGCCCAATCTTGCTTAGACAAAGACTAAGAGAGGTTTTGACATTAACTTTAACTTTGGTGGTGAAATGAACAGCAAAAGAAGTTTATTATTGGTAAGATAAGAGGTAGAAGATTGTTAAGGGCATCCAATGTGTTCATAGCCTTTTCTTTTTATTTTCGTCAATTTTATTGGTTTGTAGAATCCAAAGAATTGAAGCTACCAAAAGAGTGGGAAACAGCTTCTCATAACCAAACACCATGGTCACAAAATTATTGCTTTGAACCCCACCTCCCATGTGCTTGTTTTGGGTAACAGACATTTCTCCAATTCGATTTTCCTTTAGACTTGACATTACTTACCAACTCATCATGTTCATATAAAAATATTTCAAACCCTGGTCTAGTAAATCTCCGTTACTCTCTTCATTGGTTAATAGAGTTTTCCTTAATTGATTTCTATATTCTTTTAACTTTTACTTAAATAAGGCCTGTACAAACTTGTATATACGCGGTCTGACAAAATCGTGAATATGGGTGAAGAGAAAAATAGAAAGCATTTAGATACCGATCAATCTATATGGGAAAGAGGGAGTAACTTTTTTCACTAATGATATCGACTTTTTTGTTGCTTAAAACTCAAACAAGCTACTCCTATAATCCAACCTTTTTTCAACTCCTTTTCATGGCTTGCAAATGATCAATTGCCATATTTGTTGAAGGAGAAAATATTATCTAACTACCAAATTGAGGAACGAGTCTTGTGCTATATAGTTTATATTTCTAAAAAGGTTAGATTGGAATATCTTTGTAACTGTTCAATCTTCCTTTGCAAATTGATGATAAGTTTCCCATTTTCTGAACAAAAGAAAGTGCAAGTGATTGAGCTTTCTCCGTCGGCCAAATAAGTGCTGCCTATCTATACTTTCTACATGTTTCATTTTCATCTTTTTGCTATTTGGAAATTTCATAACCGACTCTTTACTATTTATTAAGTGTTCACTTTCTTCATGTGAAATTAATGATCAATCAGAAAATGTCTTAAAAGGTTGTTATGATTTCTTTTATAAATACAAAGTAGTGGTTTAAAATTTATTTTCCATAATGTTAATAAGTTTACAACAATGTGGTCTTACAATGTCCATCTCACTAATATGAGGTTACATATTTACACTTTTTTGTAAAATTAGTTAACACGACATAATTACAGATCTTTATAAATAATTTTACACAGGTGGTCTTACACTATATATAAAATAACCGATGTAGTATAAAACATATTTCTAAACCTCAACCATCGGCTAAGAGTCCAAAACTTCTGATTGAGATGAACCTTTAACAATAATCTCTACTATTTTAAGATAAATTTTAAATGTCTCTTACACAGTCTTTATAAATAAGTTTAATTGATCGAGTAAAATATGTAATGTGTAATTCATGCTCATGCTATTCTCATATTATTCTTACACCCAAATTATATTCCAACCTTATGTAATAAACACGAAGATTGTCCATTTAGTATGATTCCAATTGCACCCCATATTCCCACGATTCTAACATAAATGACACTCACGAAGTTAACTTCTCAATACTATAATTCGACGAAGTTTCTCAAAATTAATGTTGTCTTGTCAAATTATATTACCAACTAGAGCCAAAATTTGCTATTGGCCTTTCATCAACATAAAAAAATCTAGCATTTCATCAAAGTTAAAAGAAGGAATAAAGAAGAAGAATATAAAGGCAAACAAAGTTCATTCCATTGAACCAAAAGCCCAAGAGTTACAATAACATACGGTTTAGAAACCATATTACACTCCACTAAAATTATATATTATCATAAGTAATATTCATATACCATTTTTCTTCCATCTTAATAATATAATTAGAAACATCATTAAGCTGCGGGCTACACCTTTCTGCAGTCGCTTCAGCCTTTTTTCTTTCACCTTTCCCTCTATACCCTCTTCCCTTTTTTCAAAATTACACTTTCCCACACTTTTCATTTCCCTCCAAACCCAAAACTTTAAAACCAAAAAAAAAAAAGAAAAAAAACTTCAAATTGACAAATTCACCCCCCCTCCCTCCAAAACCTACATTGAGAAAAGTCTTTTTAAAAACCCAAATTTTCTCATTCTTCTCTTTTTACCCCCACTTACCCCGTTTCGAGGTCGGGATTAAAAAAAAGAAAAAAACCATTAAAATAAGGTTTTTTTTAAACGAAAAGATAGAGTAAAATAAAATCTAAACTATGCCGAAAATTCGATTTTTTTTTTTTCCTTCTTTAGTGGTTAAAAGGGGTAAAATTTTTTAAACCCTGAAATTTTTGCCGGTAAAAGTCTGTCCAAATTGCCAATGAGCGGGAGCAATGTTCCAAGAAGTGGAAGACCTCCTGTCACTGGCTACAACCCTAAAGGAGAGTGCTTGTCCAACCAAAACCGAGTTGGATTGCCAGTTTTGACCCCAATTACGGCTCATTGGCATCCAGTTAGTCCTTGATCCTTTCACATAAGTCCTCACAATATCCCCTGCACCCGCAACATTGGTGATCAAAACCAAGTTGAAGTAACGGAACCCATTGATTGTGAACCTGATCCCTCCACGCTTACGGCATGGCACCCTGCAATATTAAATAATACACAACAATGGTCGTTAGAAGGGTATATCAGATATTTTAGGTACGGGAAAACGGTGTGTGAATGTGATGAGATCATGGCCGTTGATTTGGTGGGAGTATTGAAGACTGTGCATGGGAACATGCGAGTGGAAGACCGCACCCTAATAAATTTCTCCTGGTATTGTGGACAAAATGGTGTGGGTATTTGGTTTTGTTTTCACATTGGATCCGGATTTTAATCTGGTTAAAGTTTTGGCCCATTAGTCTTGAATTTGGGTATAGTAGTACTAGTACTAACTTTAATTTGACTTTTTAGTCTTCTAGGAAATCATAAAGCTGCTAAATTGTCACATGCTTTTCACATACTTATTCAACAATTCTAGCTCAGCAATTTGACACTAGTGAATTTCATCGAGATTCCACTCATGCAATTGTTGTAAACATTTCCAAGAACAAAATTATGCCAAAATTTTGAAAGCGGTTAGAATTCCACTTCTAATTAGACATTTCATTTGTTGTTGAAAGAATTTACGACACTAGTAGTGTAGAACTATCAAATCATTCCGGGGATAAGTAGTGATAACACAAAGAGATTATAATGAAAAATGCGGAAAAGACCAACGTTGCATATGCTCTTAGGTATAAATTATACTTATACAAGTCATGTTTCATAATCATACAATCAAATGAAGGTAATTAAGAGTTAAGTGATTGAGTACTTTCTTAAGCTCCTAAAGGTTGACCAATCTTATTGGTACTAAAAGCTTGTTCTCTTCGACTTAATTTCAATTCAGTGCATGTCCAATAAGTTCAAATTCACTTCATTTTCTAATTTCCTTTTCATAAATAATTCATTTTAGCAAATCATAAGAGGCTCTAAATCTACTAACCCACTCATCTGAACAATATACAGTACTGTAGTATACTCTGCTTCTGAAATTATAAAATGTTCCTTTGAAGATATTTTTCACGCACAAAACCTAACCCTTTTAAGTTTAAACTACAGTACAAATAATGAGACATTTCTAGTCCCACCTTTTTTTAATTTTCTTTATTTAAGATCTCTACTTAATAAGTCTAAACCAATGAACACTTGTTATAAATCATACTAGTCACTACCCACTATACTCAACTTTATACACTCTCTGTCAACCTTTTTAAAATTATCATCTTCCTAATTAATTTTTAATCAAAGTAATTAGGACTAAAACAACTACGTTCCAAACCAAAAAGTCACAATTCCGTACTCCGTTGTTTACTTGACAACACAAGATAAAGTCATAAAACTAACACTCCACGAAGGTTAGACGTAGACCATTATTACTAGGATTAATTACGAAAATGACTCGTAACTGTCTAAGAGCATCCACAATGGTGGTATTTCCTCGCATTTATTTTCATTCCTCTTAAAAAGTCTAACTCAACCGTCAAACTGTTCCTTAATTTCTTGTAAATCAACAACAAATTACCATTCAATTTTTTAAGCCTTATTAATTCTAAAAATAAAAACAAAATCACCCCCTCCAATGAATAAAAATAAGAGTACCAAGCATTAAATACATTCTCTAAAACAGAACAAGTTTAGAAATATACGACAAAATCACACGTTAATACAGAGTAAGTAATATGAAGGACTACATTTATCATTTTCCGCAAATAAAAAAAGCAGGGGAAGAGAGAGAAAAAGAAGGCAAACCTGCGGTAAGAGACAGGAACAATGCCGGCGCGGTATTGAGCCAGCTTAAGGAACATGGGCATAGCAAGGTCAAAGTGAGGGCGAGGAGGGTTGCACCACCCACCATTGTCACTAGCTTGGGCGAAGTTAGGCGGGCAGAAATTAGTAGCCGTAACGAGTATAGACGGGCTTCCTGGGTGGCACCAGCTAGGGTCATCAGCGCACTTGATTTCAAAGCAAGCACCGCAACTAAGACCGTTGTTGAACAACGCTGTGCTTAGTGCTGCTGTGTTCACACCATAACCTTGACTGTACAAGTTCCCATAACCACATGCTCCACCTATTGAACATCGGAAACAAAATTGATCAGAAGAGGGCATTTTTGGTATTTTTAAAAATGACTGAAATGCCCTTGAGGGTACCCACATTTTGGATTAGAAAAAGTGAGTAATAATTAAGGAGGTACATTATGGTTAAGTTTGTTAGTAATCAAATTGTTAATGTATAATTAGAAAAAGGGTTGGGTGAGAGAGGAAAAGACGAACATACCCATGGTGCCAGAA